GAAGGGGCTCTAAACTGTGATATGGTGGGGAGGGGGGCTCTAAACTGTGATATGGTGGGGAGGGGGTAGCTCTTACGTATCAAGACGGATAACTCTGTTTGGCAGGATATCCAGTTCCATGTAGAAGCTCAGGTGTCGACTTATTTTGGGAATGTTAAAAACGTGAAAGTCTGCTTCAAGCTTGAGGTAAGACAATGGGGAGGGTGTGTGTGTGTGGGGGGGGGGGGGGTGGTAGAATGGGCATGGAATGGTTGGGGAGTTGTTGGGGAGTGGTTGGGGAGTGGTTGGGGAGTAGTTGGGGAGTTGTGAGGGAGAGTGAAGATTGTGGTTTAAGACATTAGAACCTTGAGGAATGTGATATGGTGTTTTGTGACACCAGTCAGATAACAGACACCACGACACCCAGACACCACGTGACCCTAGTGTGTCAACCTTTGAACTTTTGCGTTCATTTCACGTCGAACTTTAATGTTAAGTTAAACGTGACAGAAATGCAATTTAGAATTAATTAAATTTTATTTAAATGATTAATTAAGGGACGGCATGGTCGAATGGTAGAGAAAAAACTGCCAAATTGAAAGTCACGAGTTCAAATCCGAGTTCGAGCCCGTATAATGCCTCTGATTCCATAAGTACTGATGGGGACCTGACTTATGTTAGAGAAAGTAAAGGCCGAGGTCACATATTTGAAGTCTACTTCACTTGCATGCTTAACCGGCAGGTTCTAAAACTTACTTAGCTTTACTTGTTTACAAATGTGATTCAGTGGACATAAAGGCAAATCGATGTAAAAGTTCGACAATTAAACATTGACTTAAATATATATATATATATATATATATATATATATATATATATATATATATATATATATATATATATATATATATATATATATTTATATATATATATATGAGTTCGCATGACTGAGTTTGTATGTCAGAAACAACAGATATGGTCAGGTTCTAAAAAGTTAGAGCTGCATCAGTTGATGGGTGATAATTTCACGAGCGACAGACGAAGACATTTTGGCGGGCTAATGGTCCCACGGAGTCTGCGCCGGCCCATCAAAACATTAATCATACAGCCGTTCAAATTTAGCATTCAGTCGCGAGATCAAAGCCCACTAGTGCCTGGGGGGCACGAATCGAATCGTTATATCCGCCAGTTTTTAGGCATTGCTTTTTTTTTTAGCTGGAGAACGAAACGTTCTATTTACTGCTATATTGCTGACTGAGCTCAATAAGTAGCAAGAAAAATATGTTGTAATAAACATAATATGTGTGTCACTGAATGTATACGGGAAATTATAAATAATGAATTGGATTGACAATGTGTGTGTAAATTGTTTGTTATTTGTATTGTGTGTAGATTGTACATGGCACGCAAGGTACCTATTTTTAATTCGATTTCATATACAACCACACACACACATTTGTCTATATGTATATACAAATATACCTATAGACATATATGTCTAAATGTATATATATATATATATATATATATATATATATATATATGTGTGTGTGTGTGTGTCGTAACGACTGTCTGTTAAGTATTAAGCACCAATGTCTAATTAGCTTAAAACTAATTACCTGATTTCTCAAACGTTGATTAATCCTGATTGATGAGTGTCAAATAATTAGCCCAAGTCAAGGTTTTCCCCACTTAAGATCTAAATACCGTCGTTCTCGTAACCGTTTGACCCAGGTAGCCATGTGACCCAGCTAGCCAGCTGACCCAGGTAGCCAGCTGACCACTGGTGTGGTCCGATGGTCCTCTCAAGGTCCTGTAGGACATGTAATGGCCATGCGGTGATTGATGTTGTAGTTAGTTAGGACAGTTGCCCAGTTGATCCCATAGAAAACACACTGAGATCTACTTAAACAAGCATGACTGCATACAGTAGAATATTATTTACATATGTTCGTATGTATTTATCAAAGTAGGTAAATTTCTTTTGTGTCCCCCCCCCATATATATATATATAAATATATATATATATATATATATATATATATATATATATATATATATATATATATATATATATATATATGTGTGTGTGTGTGTGTGTGTATTGCTGTTGGTGTGTGATGTCCTTGTTTATTTGTTGCATTGTGTGACTTTGTGAAACCGTTTCTATTTACGGTCACAAATGTTCTTCTGATCAAAATTAAATATTTTTTTACATCAGCCACACTGACCACATCACAACACCAGGTCACTTCAACTATTTGGGTCGACTGACATTTTTAGTGGACCGGCTTCTTTAGTCAGTCCGGCTACTTTAGTCATTCCGGCTACTTTAGTCAATCCGGCTATTTTAGTATGACTTCAGTGTAGCTACTTTAGACAGACTTGCCACTTTAGTCAGTCTTGCTACTTTAGTTAGTTTTGCTACTTTAGTCAGTCTTGCTACTTTTATAGTTTTACTACTTTAGTCTGTGTTGCTACTTTATTCAGTCTTGCTACTTTAGTTAGTCTTGCTACTTTATTCAGTCTTGCTACTTTATTCTGTCTTGCTACTTTAGTCAGTCTTGCTACTTTAGTCAGCCCATCTAGTTTAGTGAAATGAAGAATGCTGTAATAAAACAAGTTACTTAATAGAAACCTTAATGTGACTCTAGTGATCCTAGCTACTTTAGTGCTAGTAGGCTACAAGACTATTTTTTTATAGAAACTTTAATGTGACTCTAGTGATCCTAGCTACATTAGTGCTACTAGGCTACAGGTCTAAGTTTATAGACATTTTAATGTGACTCTAGTGATCCTAGCTACTTTAGTGCTACTAGGCTAAGGTCTAAGTTTATAGAAACTTTAATGTGACTCTAGTGATCCTAGCTACTTTAGTGCTACTAGGCTAAGGTCTAAGTTTATAGAAACTTTAATGTGACTCTAGTGATCCTAGCTACTTTAGTGCTACTAGGCTAAGGTCTAAGTTTATAGAAACTTTAATGTGACTCTAGTGATTCTAGCTACTTTAGTGCTACTAGGCTAAGGTCTAAGTTTATAGAAACTTTAATGTGACTCTAGTGATCCTAGCTACTTTAGTGCTACTAGGCTAAGGTCTAAGTTTATAGAAACTTTAATGTGACTCTAGTGATCCTAGCTACTTTAGTGCTACTAGGCTAAGGTCTAAGTTTATAGAAACTTTAATGTGACTCTAGTGATCCTAGCTACTTTAGTGCTACTAGGCTTTAGGTCTAACCAGATTTTTTTATGCTAGCACTACAATTACGTCCATTTTTATCTCATTTATAAAGTTGACAAATTACACAAGCATAACAAAAATGACAAAATTCTTACAACACGCTAACAAAACGCAATAAAAATGCACACTTTAACAAAGGAAGCAATTTAATACGTATTTTATTAACTCATCAAAAAGACAATTTATCGATAAAATCAAGGCAATAAAACTGCTCATGCTTTCAAACATTCACATTAGACAATGCAATGGGGTCGGGCTAGACTTAGGGAAGGTGGGGCATTTTGGGATAGGTGGATAGACAAAAGAGACGTCTTGCTGTATATTCAACTGGTACATAGATTCATACATACTAATAGGAGGGCTGCTGTTTGTTACTAGATGTAGATGTAGAAATAGTTATTCGTTGGCTTGATACTAGATGGAGATGTAGAAATAGCTATCCATTGGCTTGATACTAGATGTAGATGTAGATATAGATATCTATGTAGATGTAGATATCCGTTGGCTTGCTTCTAGATGTAGTTGAAGATGTAATTATGTATGACATGTTGAAATACAATGATGTTTGACCGCTGATCACGTGATGTGGTACCATCATGATGTGGCCAGTAGAGATGATTAGTAGACATTTAAAGACAACAATTATTTCATCCTAAAATCGAGTCCAAATTTAATTTCAATGGTTTATACTGTGGGCGTATTTTAAATCTACTTGTCATTGGAAGGGTAGAGTTTGACATTTGGAAGATTTGGTCTGGTTTTGAGGATAACTCGGCTCTGACACTTCAGCAGATCGAGTTTATATTTTTTTAAGTAAGGGCTAAAATTCACTGTACGGCAAGCGTGTTGACTTGTTAAAAATGTCCTAAAAATTACATGTGTATTTTACATGTACTAGTCATCAGTGTGTGTCAAGTGTGAATGTTGTTTAACTAGAATGTGAATTCAGTTGGGATAAATGTGTGTCTGTCTCAACAAGACTAATTCAGAAGAGACGGTGGTTTGGATTGATTAGAAAATAAAATGAAGAGTTTATAGGTGAGAACGTCGAAAATGGAGTCAGAAAAGAATGTAAGCCTTCGTCTTGTTAAACAACAGTACGGTACAGAGGCGTCGCACAGGTGTTCAATGAAGGGGTTTAGGAGGGGTGCCCCGTCATTAGGGGGGGGGGGGTGCCCCGTGATTGGGAAGGGTGCCCCGTTATCGGGATACCGTTCGTTCATAATTCATATTCTCTGTTCTAAACTCATAGCTTTATGGCATAACACTGACAATACCCACACACGCATACACACACAGACAGAGCACATACTATCCTATCAGCATAGCAATGCTAGCACACACTCTCACATACACACACAACACACACACACACAACACATGTACCAGTAAATCATATTTAGCCAATCTAGACATATTTTACATGTAACCATTTAAATCGTGCCTCAAATAGTCAACTGTTTCATCCTGTTAAATGCTTGGCGTGTTCTTGTAATTCTATTCTTATAGGTCAACCCTAAGTATGTTCTATGTTACACAGGTTTTCAGAACTAACACGTGTTTACTAGCAATCAAATATTCATGCGACTTGCGTTTTTGTAAATTTGTTCTCATACTTTAGTTTTCAAATATAACATTTATATAATAAAGTTGTGAATTTAATTTTTTTTTTAAATATTTTGTTGACGTAAATTTGGCATTAATTTATCAAAATAAAGAAATATTAAATTTTAAGGAATGACATGTCGACGTTCCCCCCCCCCCCCCCCCCCCCCCCCGTGATGTATTGTCAACATTAGTACACAATACAATGTGTGAGATTTTAATGGCACAATCAAAAGTAAATTTTACAAAAAAATTATTTTACCTTTCTCAATAATTTTTTTTATTATTTTTATCAATGTACAGTATACATCTCATAATAGAAACGTCTTCAGAAAATCCAATTGACGTTACAAACTTAAAAAGAGTAGTAATTAGTACTAATTAAAGATGGGGAAAAAATTAAATTGTAGTAAGATAGACACATTTGAAGAAAAAAAACGAGTGAAATATATAACAAAATACACACAATTTTTTTTTACAAGAATGGCAAGCTCATGATCTTTGAACCACTGAGGAAGATGAACTGATATGACATCATTTCAACCAGATTACAGGAAACGTAAATACAACAGAGACACGAATACGTCATCGGTGACGTCATGCCTTTGTCATTGGGAAAGAAAATTTAAAATTTCATATACAAAACCTAAGTCATTTACAAGCACAAAATCGTTCAAATGTTCGTGCGCGCACACGTTTGTCCGTGCGTCTGCTGGTGTGTACATGAGTGTGTCCGTGTGTACATCGATGCGTACGCCTCTGTGTACGCCGCACAACGATATTGTTTTAAAGAAAGAAAAAAAAGTTTGTACACAGTTTATAAATGTCATGTTTATATATTCAGCCCTCATTACCCTATCCTTCAAGTGTAGATAACCAAATAGGTTTTCCTATCGTTAGATCAGTGTGCTCGACTTGACCGATCGTTTGGACGATCGTTGAATCACAAAAATGCTCTGGGTGGTCCAGTGTTGTGGGCCCTGCACGGTGGGCCATGCCAGGTGGCCGCTGCACGGTGGCCCGAGTATCCTGGGCCAATATTGTGGCCCGCTTTAGGCCGCGGTAATTAAGATATGGATTTTCTACGTCTTCGCTGGTCATTTGTATATCTGTTATCTGATTATTCTGCTGAGATTTAAAACACAACCTTGAGAATTGATGCTGATATCACCTTAATCCAATCGCCTTCTCGTGAGAGGTGAGTTGATGTTCACAAAATTTCATGTTCAAATTTTGATTTTTATAGCAACTCACAGATGAATTGATATGACTTTTTCAACACATTGTATCGTCTTTTGCGTGCTGACTATGTGTCGCTCTATCCCAACTACACATCCCATTCCCCAATGTCAAGGTCTTATGTTAATGGCCCTAATTCGATCTCTGACAGACCATCTGTATTGATCGACCAAGGGACAGAACCCGCCGTCCTGTATGAATTTGATTATCTCCCCGACGCTGAGTTCTTTCTCCTTTCCAGATTGCGTGACGCTGTTTTCGTTTCACGATCTAAGTTCCGGTTTGCCTTTTTATAGTCATATCAAAAATAATTTGAAAAACAGTTTTTAACTTGTTAGGTGTAATCAACTCAGTTGAGATAGCGTATATTATCAACTTAAATATAATTTGCTGTAGTTTTGAAGGCAGTACTGAAAGCTTTATTTTAAACTTGTTTTTTTTTTTCTAAATCACAAACTGGCAGCGGCGTAGAGTTTTTTTTTAGATGCTGTAAACTATGCAGGCCACAATGGCAGACTTTACCCACAATTCCTAGAGCAAAAAGATGGCGACTCGTGTCTCCAGTTTTTTGTGATGTAATGTCCTCTAACGATTTTTTAAAAATAAAAAATTGTTGCGTGCAGTTAATGTTCCACAGTGGGATGTAACCAAAGCGTCACTTCCGGTGTGTTGCTGACTGCTTCACTGATTGGCTTGTGAGTTGCGCATGCGCAGCTATAAAAAGCTGAGCTCCCGTGGGTCCTGAAGCTTGGCCAGGCTACTGCTGGGGGTGTCGTCCCTCAGGGATGAGCTGGGCGAGGGGTAGGAGGAGTGCGCTGGGGAAGGATAGGGCTGAGGCGTATGTCAAACGGCGGCACCGTTGGTGGCGTACTGGCAGGCAGACAACGTCGGCTGGCGTGACGGCATCGAGGGGTAGGGGAAGGGGGAGGAGTGCGCCTTGGCCTTGAGCCTCAAGGTCGCGATGCTGTTGGTGCACTGGTCACGGTTGTAGAGGTAAGGCGGGGCCGGGGGGCCGTACGGGCAGGTGGCGCCCGGGGAGTTCATGCCCCCGGGTACGCTCCCGCTCCCCATCATGGAAGAGTTGATGCTACTGATGGGCCCCGGGGAGGACGAGAAGCCCCCAAGGGATTGTGTGGACACCACCGACGACAAGTGAGGGTTCACGGGACTGTTCATGTTCATGTTTAGGCCCCACGGGAAGGTTTTGGAGCTGAGGGGGGACGGGACTTTGGCGGCCCAGTTTTGGTAGGGGTAGCCGGTGTAGATCCCGTCATCGAAGGGGGGTTGCATCAAACCGTTGAACTGCGGGCCGAATCCGGTCTTGAATGTCTCCATGTTCCGCTCACGTTTTCTCCACTTGGCCCGTCGGTTCTTGAACCAAACCTGTGGGAGACAGAAACAAATTAGGCTTAATTAAAGCAGCGATAGTTTAGTTCTAATTAATGTCGTTGATGCATCACGTATAAATGTTAAGCAACTTGAACAAAGTGTTAGATCTATAAAAACATTTCATATATATTTATTTGTTATATTTCACATTTAATTATATGTGGTATATTTTCATACACGAGAGAGACATGACATTATAAAGATATTTCACATAATATTTTGTTTATTTTCATACATGAGAAAAATGACATTGAAATCGTCATTTCATAGTTAAAAAGAACACATTATTTTAAACACGCATTTTCTTCCTGAGATACCACAAAGCTCGAGAAATTAAAAATAAATTAATGTTTTTTTTTTACCGCAGGTAACTAAAATAATTACACATATAGGTTATAGCACATCTAGGTTATAGCACATCTAGACGGTCCAAGTCGAATCCTATGATCGACCTTTGATTCTAGCCGCGTCTGTTTTGTACAAGAGTTGCCCAATGTGTCATGGTTTTGGTATTTGATCAAATGTATCAATACTTTTGTGATGTACTAGTGCAAACGTCTAAGTATCATACCGAGACATTGTTTTTTTAGATGAGTTCTTTTGGGTAGACAATGATTTTATAGGAGTACACACTTGGGTAAGATGTGTTTTTTTTATAAATATAAACAAAAGCGTGTTATAGGAATACGAAACAGTCATTTTATCAATCTCGTACACAGTTTTATGAGAACTAGAACATATTTCATATTGACATGACAACACACCACTCTATACAGAATCCAGAGCACACCATTGTGTTAAGTAACTAGACAACACCGTGTCGTCAAGAAGCTCATCGCCATTTTACATCAACCCCAGAACAAGTTGTATTACATATAACAAGAGCAGAGGATCTACCCAGCAGAGTATCGTACACAAGCGCTGATATTTGCCGCCAATATTTTTTGATCAGGCGATGTCTGCTGATGTGGTTAGGGCAGGATCGATACCTCTGATGGGCCGCCCGGTTCTGACAGCGTCATTAAGATCTTGTAGCGATAACCGCCCCTGATTCTAAAGTTAATTTAGATCAGGGTTTGATCCGAATCAGGGTATGGAATTTAATTTTTTCATGACGTGGTGGAGTATTGACATACACCAGGCATGCTGAACGGTGTGTTTGTTTTATGCTGGATGGAAATGTTTGCTGGACGCAACTTGACGTTTATCAGTGTTGGCCTGGGTCCATGCTAGACGCAGACGTAATGGACACACATGACTGGACACAGCAGAATGGACACGCCTCAGAGAGCGGATCTGATCCGATGTCTACACTCACGCGAAAGTGAAGTTCGCATTTTACCCCCACCACACGACAGTTCACAAATCAGGTACACATGAAAGGGTCGACATAAGCCGGATGTCGCAGATAAATTGACCGACTTAATCCAAAATCACAGATTAAAAGATCGAAGTCATCAGAGCTGTTGATCCCAGGTGAGTTACATGGGTCGATGGACAACAGTCAGGTTTGGTGAATCAGTCGATGGACAACAGTGAGGTTTGGTGAATCAGTCGATGGACAACAGTGAGGTTTGGTGAATCAGTCGATGGACAACAGTGAGGTTTGGTGAATCAGTCGATGGACAACAGTGAGGTTTGGTGAATCAGTCGATGGACAACAGTCAGGTTTGGTGAATCAGTCGATGGACAACAGTCAGGTTTGGTGAATCAGTCGATGGACAACAGTCAGGTTTGGTGAATCAGTCGATGGACAACAGTGGGGTTTGGTGAATCAGTCGATGGACAACAGTCAGGTTTGGTGAATCAGTCGATGGACAACAGTCAGGTTTGGTGAATCAGTCGATGGACAACAGTGGGGTTTGGTGAATCAGTCGATGGACAACAGTCAGGTTTGGTGAATCAGTCGATGGACAACAGTCAGGTTTGGTGAATCAGTCGATGGACAACAGTCAGGTTTGGTGAATCAGTCGATGGACAACAGTTAGGTTTGGTGAATCAGTCGATGGACAACAGTGAGGTTTGGTGAATCAGTCGATGGACAACAGTGAGGTTTGGTGAATCAGTCGATGGACAACAGTCAGGTTTGGTGAATCAGTCGATGGACAACAGTGAGGTTTGGTGAATCAGTCGATGGACAACAGTCAGGTTTGGTGAATCAGTCGATGGACAACAGTCAGGTTTGGTGAATCAGTCGATGGACAACAGTCAGGTTTGGTGAATCAGTCGATGGACAACAGTGGGGTTTGGTGAATCAGTCGATGGACAACAGTCAGGTTTGGTGAATCAGTCGATGGACAACAGTCAGGTTTGGTGAATCAGTCGATGGACAACAGTGGGGTTTGGTGAATCAGTCGATGGACAACAGTCAGGTTTGGTGAATCAGTCGATGGACAACAGTCAGGTTTGGTGAATCAGTCGATGGACAACAGTCAGGTTTGGTGAATCAGTCGATGGACAACAGTTAGGTTTGGTGAATCAGTCGATGGACAACATTGAGGTTTGGTGAATCAGTCGATGGACAACAGTTAGGTTTGGTGAATCAGTCGATGGACAACAGTCAGGTTTGGTGAATCAGTCGATGGACAACAGTGAGGTTTGGTGAATCAGTCGATGGACAAACAGTTAGTGAGGTTTGGTGAATCAGACGTAAGACAAACAGTTAAGTTTAGTATTTGTAGCGAAACTTTTGATACATTAGTTTAAACAAAAACAGTAAAGTTTAGTTTTTGTAGCGAAACCTTTGCTACATTAGTCTAAACACAAACAGTAAAGTTTAGTATTTGTAGCGAAACTTTTGATACATTAGTCTAAACACAAACTGTAAAGTTTAGTATTTGTAGCGAAACTTTTGATACATTAGTCTAAACACAAACAGTAAAGTTTAGTTTTTGAATGCGAAACCTTTGCTACATTAGTCTAAAGACAAACAATAAAGTTTAGTATTTGTAGCGAAACTTTTGTTACATTAATCGAACGATAGGTTTAGTATTTATATCGAAACTTAAAATTTAACAAACGAAAAAAAATTCAAACTACAATGAGCATAACCTGATAAATTGTCTTTCGACTATCCCAATGTTATATTTAATAGTTTAGTAGTAATATTTTGAACAGTAGAATTGTTGTAAAACAATAATTGTTTTTAAAGGAATTAAAATATAATGTATTTATATAATTTTTTGTGATATTCGATTACGTTTATTTTATAATGAAGACGGTTATATTAGACCTTTTTAAAGAAATGAAATAGCCGACATGAAATGTGGTGGAGTGAGAGTGGGATCAAAATAGAAGGCTATGATGTGAACTCATCTACAACTTACGGCAGCGCTTGATAAAATAGGTCATGCACCAACCCAAATGACAGGGTCCAAACGATAGGTCCCACCAAACGATAGGTCCCACCAAACCAAACGATAGGATAGGTCCCCCCAAACCAAACGATAGGTCCAACCAAACCAAATGATAGGTCCCACCAAACCAAACGATAGGTCCCACCAAACCAAACGATAGGTCCCACCAAACCAAACGATAGGTCCCACCAAACTAAACAATAGGTCCCACCAAACCAAACGATAGGATAGGTCCCACCAAACCAAACGATAGGTCCTACCAAACCAAACGATAGGTCCCACCAAACCAAACGATAGGTCCCACCAAACTAAACAATAGGTCCCACCAAACCAAACGATAGGATAGGTCCCACCAAATCAAACGATAGGTCCAACCAAACCAAATGATAGGTCCCACCATCCAAACGATAGGTCCCACCAAACTAAACGATAGGTCCCACCAAACCAAACGATAGGTCCCACCAAACGATAGGTCCCATCAGACCAAACGATAGGTCCAACCAAACCAAACGATAGGTCCCACCAAACTAAACGATAGGTCCCACCAAACCAAACGATAGGTCCCACCAAACGATAGGTCCCACCAAACCAAACGATAGGTCCCACCAAACTAAACGATAGGTCCCACCAAACCAAACGATAGGTCCCACCAAACGATAGGTCCCATCAGACCAAACGATAGGTCCAACCAAACCAAACGATAGGTCCCACCAAACTAAACGATAGGTCCCACCAAACCAAACGATAGGTCCCACCAGACCAAACGATAGGTCCCACCAGACCAAACGATAGGTCCCACCAAACGATAGGTCCCACCAAACGATAGGTCCCACCAAACCAAACGATAGGTCCCACCAAACCAAACGCTAGGTCCCACCAAACCAAAGGATAGGTCCCACCAAACCAAACGATAGGTCCCACTAAACCAAACGATAGGTCCCACCAAACGATAGGTCCCACCAAACGATAGGTCCCACCAAACGATAGGTCCCACCAAACCAAACGATAGGTCCCACCCAGGCCCATCTGGCATGTTGGTAGCCGTGTGAGTCTAATTTTGGCCAGGTACGTTTGGGTGTGTAATCAGACTGTTTGTCACCACGGCAAATCAACAGAGAGGGTACCTGGTCTGACTGTAAATGTGATGGTAGGTTTGTGGATGTGTGTGTGTGGTGTGTGTGGGGGGGGGGGGGGGGAGTAGGGGTGTGAGGGGGGTTGATAATGGGGGTGGTAAATGACACCAGAGGGAGTCCAGTCAGACTGCTAATATAGAGGGGGTGGGGGTGTGGCGAAGACAACGAGAGCAGAAAGTTTTGATTGACAACAAATTCAACTCTTCGAAAGAAAAAAAAAATTAAGCGTTCACAGACAACAAATTGAAGTCTTCCACAAACAACAAATTGAAGTTTCCGAAGGCAACAAATTGAAGTCTTCCACAAACAACTAATTAAAGTTTCCACAGACAACAAATTAAAACCTACAGCAAACAATATAATAATAGTGTCGCATAATTTACATCTGTCATAATGCCGTGTGCTTGAAGCCAGTGTCAGGATACTCTTATGGAGGACTGACACGTCACAACGATTGAAGGTGACACCAAATTTTTGTGACACATCACAACAGTTGAGGATCACACCAAATTGATGTGACACTTCAAACGAGTTGTTTATTTAATTTAAAATTGAAATCGTTGTAAAGCTGTTTAAAAAAAATCTTTTACAAAAATTTATATTAATACAACATCTTGAGTCAGTTTACGTTTTAGTAGTTTAGTATATAACTAAGTAAACTAACAACATTGTGTTTTACGTTTTGTTAGATTTACATTAGATTGAATAAACTACATTTTTAATTAACTTTATTGAATGTATCTTTCTGAAGAAAAAAAAGTATTAAAAAATCGAGGAAGACAAACAAGAAGACATTCCCCATAAGAGATACAAATCGAGATACAAAAAAAAATGGAGAAAAAAAAACGAGGAAAACAAATTAAAATTGCAAAGTTAATCAGCATTCTAGCCCAAAGACCCGAGCCCAGTAGACTCGCGGTCTCACCTGAACACCCTACCTTATCAATCGGTGCGCAGGGACTTGTCAAATTGTTTCAACTATTCAAAGCCTACAGTCAACAATAGGATCCGCTCGGGTTTCGGGTCTGTTAGTTTAGGCTTTGGTTTAAGTTATGCTTACACGTACAGCAGGAGTGGAATGTATATCCTTAATTCTCCGCACACGGTAAAACCCCGGCTATAAAACCTGGTTGATAAATTTCCCAGACATGAATGAAGGTTTGAGGTGGGGGTTTTGTATCGAGCTTGAAAGTACCGGTTTTTGTGAGGGGTATGAGTTACATGTGTAATTAGGTGAGACGTTAAGAGTGCTATACAACATCGGGTGTGTTGTGTTACATAACTTTTGGCGTGTTGTGCTACATAGAATGGGGTGTGTTGTGCCATACAGCATAAGGTGTGTTGTGCTATATAACATGTGTGTTGTGGTACACAGCATAAGGTGTGTTGTGCTATATAACATGTGTGTGTTGTGCTACACAGCATCGGGTGTGTTGTGCTATACATTAGGTGTGTTGTGTTATATAACATGTGTGTGTGTGTTGTGGTACATTGCATTGGGTATGTTTTGTTACACATAATGATGAGTGTTTTCTAAAAGCAGGTTAACTCATCGGGGTTAAGAATTGAGTATGGAAGAGGGGGTGGAGAGTCGAGGGTAGATGTGTTAGACTTAAGCAGATTGCGAATTAGTTTTTGTTAGAGTAAAGGATGGGAAAATAAGTAGATGTATGTGTAGGAGTTCAATACTAATATGTATAGGAGTTGAATGCTAATATATATAGACGTCGTGTTGACTGTTGTATGTGTCGTGTCAATTGTTCCCATCAGTCTGTGTCATGTCGTATGTGTCATGACACAGATGTCGCTTCTAATTTATTAGGCGAAATAAGACCTTGACCCCCACCCCCTTTACCCATACTCTGACCGCAAAAATTAGGAAGACCTAGCACCTACCCTAACCCTTACCCTGACAAACGATGACACCTACCCAAACCCTGACAAACAAACGCTGACACCTACCCTAACCCTGACAAACGCTGACACCTACCCTAACCCTGACAAACGCTGACACCTACCCTAACCCTGACAAACGCTGACACCTACCCTGACCATGACAAACGCTGACACCTACCCTAACCCTGACAAACGCTGACACCTACCCTAACCATGACAAACGCTGACACCTACCCTAACCCTGACAAACGCTGACACCTACCCTAACCCTGACAAACGCTGACACCTACCCTAACCCTGACAAACAAACAAACGCTGACACCTACCCTAACCCTGACAAACGCTGACACCTACCCTAACCCTGACAAACGCTGACACCTACCCTAACCCTGACAAACGCTGACACCTACCCTAACCCTGAAAACGCTGACACCTACCCTAACCCTGAAAACGCTGACACCTACCCTAACCCTGACAAACGCTGACACCTACCCTAACCCTGACAAACGCTGACACCTACCCTAACCCTGACAAACGCTGACACCTACCCTAACCCTGACAAACGCTGACACCTACCCTAACCCTGACAAACGCTGACACCTACCCTAACTCTGGCCTCCGTCAAGTTGGTCCAGGCCGAGATCTCCTCCCGTGTTGCCATGTCCGGGTAACGGTTCCTGGCGAACGTGGCCTCCAGCTCCTGCAGCTGTTGGCTGGTGAAGTGGGTACGTTGGCGTCGTTGGCGCTTCTTCTTCTTGTCGTCATCACAACCGTCGTCTGACTTATTTTTAGAAGCATCGTTAGAATCTGAGGACAGAATAGAACTGATGGTTACAATCTAATAATACAATAGGAATTAGTGAACTATACATACATTCAATGCAAAAAAAAATGCAATCCTTGTACATATAATCCAAACAATATACGGACAATCCAAGCGAAAGACTACTATAAATATAAAATGAGCATCCGTTGTATAAGGTACATATAACAGATACGAGATAAAGAAATATTATTTGGATGCGTGGGTATCTAGGTACGTTGAAGTATAAAAAGTTATTCACATTGAGGTTTTTTTTAAATGATTTTTTTTTACAACATAAAGCAGCTTATTGTTTCAAATATGCGTATTTCATAGGTCAATCACTGGCCGGAAAAAGTCCCGTATCTTCAATCATGTGTCCATAACTATCGGAACCGTGCCGTATTTTTATTCGTCGTAAGATGTAGCGAAATAGTGTAATATCGCATGTGTCATTTGACAGAAGAATATTTCCATTACTACATAAGTTTTATCATGTATCAAGGTAGTGTCAGATGTACATGTGTGTATTGTCACTGTGTAGTATAAAATAGAGCCATGTTTACCATTCTGTTGACCAGTGTGTTGAACAATGTCATACCTACAGTTGTCGTTCTTTGTGGTGTAACCGTAACACAGTTACCTTCTGTCGATCTAGGTTTGGGTCTAGTGCCGTCAAGTCCGCTAGAATTAGCTCTAGTATTTTAAAGCACAGGTTGACTGTGGCAAGTCTCAGATTAGCTCTAGTATTTTAAAACACAGGTTGATATTGGCAAGTCTCAGATTAGCTCTAGTATTTTAAAACACAGGTTGATTGTGCAGTCGGCAAGTCTCAGATTTAGTCCTTAATTGTCTACCGTATCGTGTTTGTAACTTGAGATCCTTTACGGTCGATTTGCTTTCTGCTTGTGTGATTTGTTGCTTTATTTGTGTATACAGTATTAAAATACTTGTGGTTTTAAATTAGGTAAACAGCAGTGCGAGAAGGGAATGGTGTAGTAAAATGTAGAGGACATACAAATTGAAAAAAATAAAAATTAATTAACGAACTAGTGCACCGATAAACAACAATTAAATGAAGCCATAAACTATAGGCTATTATAAATCTAAATACTTCATTTCTTAAAGGCCTTTTAAATCACAATTTAAAAAAAGAATTTAGCAAGTGTATTATTAAATAGATAATTTATTACGCGCGAAACATATTAGAAAAAAAGATATAGGCCTACGCGACGTGTATTGTGTGTAGTGTTATATTTACGAATGTAGATAATGTACATAATATACTACTTTATAGACCCTTAGTGTTCTTTAGAATAGTTCCTTTACTGAGTATTTAGAAAAGTATATCTTCCACTGTATGTAAAAAAAAATCTCGGTATATCTGGATCAGCGATATAACAGAAAGCAGAGAGTCACTGACGCGTGTCAATACAGTTCCACTTGACTGAATCGCTTTATCAATAGTCCAATGTTTATAATGGCAACTTTCGATTGGGGGTAAGTCACTAAGTTAGTATTTGTTTAATGTGATGATAGCCACTTTACATAGGGGGGTGGGGGGGGGGTAGGTCACAACGGTAAGTTAGTATTTGTTTAATGTGATGATAGCCACTTTACATAGGGGGGTGGGTAAGTCACTAAGTTAGTATTTGTTTAATGTGATGATAGCCACATTAGGTGGGCGGAGGGTAAGTCACAGCGGTAAGTTAGTATTGTTTACTGTTAGCCACTTTAGGTAGAGGGTAATTCACAAAGTTAAGTTAGTATTAATTAAGTGTGATGATAGCCACTTTATACAGGAGGGTAAGCCACAAAATTAAGTAAGTTGGTTAAAAATGCGACTCAAGGTACTCTTGACTAGGGTCTAATGATGTTCGATATCAAAACTAACGACACTGAACTAGTTTTAACTAGTTGCTAATCAAAACTAGCGACACTAAACTAGTTTTAACTAGTTGCTAATCAAAACTAACGACACTAAACTAGTTTTAATTAGTTGCTAATCAAAACTAACGACACTAAACTAGTTTTAATTAGTTGCTAATCAAAACTAACGACACTAAACTAGTTTTAATTAGTTGCTAATCAAAACTAACGACACTGAACTAGTTTTAATTAGTTGCTAATCAGATAGTTGTATCAATATACAGTTAGCTTGTGGGATTTCAATTGGTTTATTTTTTTAAAATGATTTCGGAGTAGTGTCCCTACGATAACGGATAAGGTGGACACACCCAAAGTTCCCCATTACCTTCAACCATCCTGCTTAGTTCAACCATCCTACTTTCTACAACCTATTTGGTTCAACCATCCTACAACCATCCTACTTTGTTTAAATTGATAAAATACGGGTGTTGTGCACATATATTAACTTAACACAACCAATATTGATTTAAAAGGCTTGTAATTTTTCATTAGCTGATAATCACAAATTGTTGTCATTATTCCACCACCCCCATCTTTCGCTACAACTTTAAGCCTTGGCTTACAAATATGGGGGACGACTCTACTGTATTTTCATCAGCAATGACGCAGGTAATCATTAAAACATGCGCTTAGCTTAGAAAATAGAAGGGTGGCTTACAAAATACAAAACGTTCTTAGATTTGTTGTGACGAACTGCGACAGATTGCTAACTAGCGATTATTTGAAACTGGAAAATCGATTTTAAATTTAGATGTAGAAATATTGCTAGCACTAGATTTAAAATTCTGGTTTAAAGATTATATAGATCTCTGCTAGCATTAGATTTAAAACTTTAATTTAAAGATTTTGTAGAACTGTTGTTGGCAATAGAATTAAAACTCTGGTTTAAAGAATGTGTAGATCTCTGCTAGAACTAGATTTAAAACTTTGTTTTACAAATTATGGTGAGCTGTCTCTAGTACTAGATTTAAAACTTTACTTTAAAGATTTTATAAAACTGTCGTGGGCACTACATTTTCATGTTGAGCTAATCGCTAGCACCTATTTAAAACTCTGGTTTAAAGATTATGTAGAACTGTCGTTAGCTCTAGATCGAAAAGTTTCGTTTGAAGATATTGTAGATCTGTGCTAGCACTAGATTTAAAACTTTGGTTCCAAGATTATGTAGAGCTGTCGCTGGCACCAGATTTAGAATTTCGGTTAAAAGATTATGTAGATCTGTGCTGGCACTAGATTTAGAATTAAGGTGATAGGAAGCTCCCAGCTGTCGTCCCTCCATCAATAGAGCAGAGCCTGAGCGTCACGCATGACACGACTTCACGCTTCATTTCTCCAATAACCTGTCGCCCTCCCACCCAACGGTCGCCCTCCCACCCAACGCTCAAACGTTTCACTTCAGTCCTCATCAGACAGGACAATGTAATGAGCCAGGAGTCATTACGGCAGGTAGCAGGCGACACAGTGACGCCTGGACAGGCTGTTGCAGGCATTCACGTGTGAAACGTCAGGTTAATAAAGAAAATATGTGAACGTGACGTCGAGATAAAACTCACACAATATATCTCATGTCTACACCCCTAGTAGTTCGTCATGTAATGAGTGAACCAGAGTAGGCAAAACGTGATAGTGTGTCGCTTTATGAAGTGAGCACTAAACTATGACATCGGTTGTATATATCGTCGCAACAACATACACCAATTTATAGCAGGCTACATCCACACCTGTATCCGATATTGCCGCCTGCTATGCAGGATATATAAGTAACTACAAAGGTTGTACGTAGCCGAGGTCACAGGTAACTAAAGTACATGTAACTTGTTCTATTTATAGATCATGCAAATCTAGATGAGATCGTCTCAACATATTTTTTCATGCCATTGTAGTGTATATATCGTCATTGAAATCGTTAAGCCCGAGTGTTGTTCAAGTAGATAATGAATTCGCTTCTAACTTCCACAATTGGCCTTGTTGAAATTCTACCCCATAACGATTAGCCACAGGACTTACGAGGGTCGTGATTTCGTCGGGAAAAAACTCACTGTTGTATTTTTATTGACTCCTGACTACATCGTACACTACATGGAGACGGTAAAATAACGTCTAATTAAATTTCAGCCATTTGTTTAGTTCTCTAATAGACCATTTGGTTAGTTCTATACTAGACCTATTGTTTAGTTCTATACTAGACCATTTGTTTAGGTTGAACTAGTCATTGGACAATCCACGAAACTGTGTCGTCTGCGACAATGCCAGAATCAGCTCGGCCCGTGGCTCGTTAGATTTCTAGCAGACGTGCGACTTGACGGCAACAAGCTCACGAATTAGGATAGCATCTATCTGTGATGGCCGCCCATTGCCCGCGGGTCGGGGATGGCGAGAAACCTGGCCACAAACAATGTGTAGCGACGGGCTGACTGGCACACACAGCACATCAAAGACGCGGCGAACAGCACCGGCCGCGCTATCTGCCTGCCATCTTTCGTAACACTGTGCTACATTTTTTTTTCTTCAATTAAAAAAACTGGAGATTGTATTCAAGTTGACTTCATCCAGGGTCCATTATTATTTTAAAACCTTATTTATTCCCCCACTGAGGTGTGCTGTCTCAGATGGGGGGTGGGGGAGGGGGTGGGGGAGGGGGTGGGGGAGGCTCGGGCTTGGAGCTCTGCTTTGAAGATCACAGGTAGACCGAAGAGATCGATAACAATCAGCTAGCTCCACCCCCCCCCCCCCACCCCCCGTCCCGACTGATTTCCTACTCCTGAATGGTGGGAAAACAAAAATGATGTTATTTGCTTAATTTCGTTCCGCTTCATTGGTTTATCGGCCTACTTTCTGTGGGGGCTCTAAAGTGTGTGTGTTGCGGGTACTTTAAAAGTATTTGGGGATATTTTTAAAGAGCAGAGTTGTAGTGGCAAGTACATGAGGGCATAAGTTGATGTAAGAGTCAGAAGGGCAGAACTTTAAAAGATCACAAAGGGTGGAGTATTAAATTTTCTCGCAATGTTGGCATTTTGATGAAACCGCCGAAAGACGAAATTAAAATTATAACTGTAAGCACCGTCATCCATAAAAC